TAAATCCTCATTCTGGCAACAGAACAGTATAATGAGTACAGCTCTGTGGAACCATGTTACCGACTCTCTTCACACCAAACCTGATTTCCCCATAAAAAATTAAACTCTGGCTCCTGAGGACTAAAAAGGAGATGTGTTTACAATTTAAAAAAATCACTTTTCATGCTAAGTACTCTTCCCTTCATACTACCTCTGTCTCGCATAGAGAATCCACTAACTTGTCATGGTCGCTGCTGACAAGAACTGCACTGTTTTTCTTATTACAATGCATAAGCTGAAGGCTTGCTTGTACAACTGCAAAAATTAGGATGACAGATGGCAGTTAATAAAACTTAACATGCATTCAGTTTTTATTGAGAGCTCACATTTTTGAGAAAGGAAGCAAATATGATAACAATTAGATTTCAGTCGTTTACCATAGACTGTATGTAAAAGATGTACACAGCTACCATCGTCCACTAGTTTGCAGAGTTGCTCTTAACATTTTAGCTATCGACAAAAATATTTCTCAATTTTTGTCACGAACCGGCAGATACTAAGGTAAAGACCCTACAGCATTAGAGAAAAAAAACCCTCTAAATTTGATGATTCTCTAATAAGAGCTCTTTGAGAAGGTGGGAAGGAAAAACTCCCTTCTAAACAGGAATAGACCTCCGGGAGGGCTCGGGGAGGGGCAGCCACCTGGTTGGGAGTGGAAAATAGAAGATACAATGCTTGTAAGGGAATTTTTTAGAACAACCTGATAATAATGAATTAAATAGCCATACTAGAAGCAATTAATACATTAGCTAGAATCAAATAAAAGCAAGCAATCTTAAATAGTTGTTTAATGTGCATGGTGAAGGATATATCCTGATTAGAAATGACTGAAAGTTTCCTCACAGCGCTGCTGGAAGCCAAGGCCTATCTACAGTAAGTATCTGGTTAGACATAATGTTGCAAAGATTTTTAGTTGTGTCTATAGTAGGAAATTGGCAGTCATCAGAGGCTTTATAGCTTTAACTGAACTAATTTATTTTGGTCTTTCAACCTCATAGATAAATATAAATGGGTATCATCTGCATAGCAGTGAATGATGAACTCTAGACCCTGACTGATTTGTCAAACATAAGGTGCCCATGCCCTAAAGCATACAATTTACAAAATGAGCATTAACACATTTCATGATCTGAAGCTACCGCTGAAGATTATTACATTTAATGGGAATGTATTTACTGGCCTTTTCTCAATCAGACTTCTTTTTGTAAGTGAAAAAAAAAAAGACCTCCTGCTGACCATTAGGGGAAAGAAACGCAGGTTTAAAGGTCTTCTGCATTTCCCGGTCCATCTTTTATATACAGTCTATGTTTTGGAATAATAGAAACAACCAAGTTCATTTTTCACACTATTTATCCAAAGCTAAATTTTTAATTATCATAACCATGAATTTATACTACATGAAAAGAAAAAAACTGAAAGAAGAGCCTCTCCATTGTTTCAGCAAAAAACAACTAAATACTAAAAGAAGTAGATAGTAGTGCAGGCAGTGAGGCGTTCAGTTTATTTAGTTCCCGTGTGAGACTGACAGAGGAAGACAGTTGATTTGACACCTGGTTAACAAGCTGAGTTCCTCCTGTCTAAACTCTGACAGACAGCAGTCAATAGAGAGCTACAGCCTTTAAAGGTCTTGAATTCACTTCACACTAGCAGGCGAGTTGCTGCAGTGTCTGAGCCCACGAACACATTAAGCGAAGTAAATCCACTCTGTAAAGCAGCTTCATACGACAGCCCACGCTGCTCTTGTTGCTGACAGACGTGCAGGGTCGGTGCAGATTGAACCCGGGACTTTTTAGTTACAGGAACCTTTTTATCCACTTGTCCACTCAGCTGAATAACATCTCGACTATGCTATTCCTGGAAATGAATTAGTTTTATTTCAGCTAAAAGCCATGCAATTTAATGCCCACTGAAGGTATTAACTTAAGAGGATAGATCGAGGCTGAAGAGAGAGAGTTTTAAAAAAAAGTAAATAAACACACAAACATACTCCTCCATATTCTGTATCAGTTGCAGCGTTTTCCCTCTTCTCTGCAGCCTGACAGATGCTGACCGAAGTCTGACAGCAGGATTTTGTCTGTGTTGCATCCAAGTGCTGAATAGTTACCGTATTTTAATCTGATATACGACCATTAAAAAAAAAGATTTATTTTCTGACCTCCTCTAATGAGGTTTTGGCTCTGATTTTATGGGGGAAAAAATACAACTTTATTTGATTATATGCCTGTAAACATAGATTTATTTACAGTTATACTCGTACTGAAATGCCTCATATCTGTTTTTAATTCAAAAACCTATCTAACCACATTACATGCTTGTGCTGATAGTTACAACATTAAATATCGGAAGAGATCAGGTTTAAAGGATAGTTTGTAGAACTGCTGACCAAGGTTTTATACCAAGGCTGTGGCTTAATTCAATGCCACTTCATAATCAGACCGACTATTTTGTGCGATAACCCAGCGTTTGAGCTCAAGGTCTGACACTCAGAATTATTATTCTCAAACTGAACATTTGCATTAGGCTTTCAAACACAGAGTTATAGCAAAACGAAAGTAAACCCTCTTTCAATTATAAGGTTTTATGCATAACGCCACAGTGAACAATCAACTGCTCCTTAGCTGGTCTTAAAATTAGGTAACTACAAGCCAAAATGAATGACAACACATGACATATTACACTGTGTCTATTGAAACAGCATCTGAAAAACGAACAAAACTAAGTACACCCCATGATTCAGTAGCTTGTTGACTCACTTTTAGCAGCAGCAACTTCAAGTAATCAGTTTCCTGTCTGACTTTATCAATCTCTCTAATCATTGTGGGGGATTTTTGCCCACTATTTTTATGTCATTTCAGTTCATTGAGGTTTGTGGGCATTTGTTTATGAACAGCTTTTGTAACGGCCCATCAAAACAATTCAGTCATTCTGTTGCAGATTTGCTGCTGTGCTTGGGATCGTTGTCCTGTTGCATGAAGTTTTGCCCAAGCTGTAGCTGTTGGACAGATGGACTCACATTTGACTCCAGTATACTTTAATATACATCTGAGTTCATGGTTGATTCAGTGACTGTAAGGTCCCAAAGTCCTCTGGGAGCAAAACAAGCCCAAATCATCAACCCTCCACCACCATGCTTGGTGTGATGTGCTTCTGCTGATGTTTCCCTTCTCTTTTCACTATAACCAGTCATAACTGGTTATAGTGATGTGCTTCTGCTGATGTTTCCCTTCTCTTTTCACTATAACCAGTCATAACTACTTTGGCCTAATTTGTCTTTTGGACGCTGCTGCCAAAGTCTTGTGGTTTGTTCTTTTTAGAAATGCTTTCTCCTGGAAATTTGTACCGTTAATAAGTTTAACATTTAACATAGTAACTAACTTCTTTTTTGTTGGGGTGAATTTGCTGGGATGCCCGTCCAAACGTCTTGTTTTCCACTTGTGAATAATCTTTCTCATTGTAGAATGATGGACTTCAAATCGTTTGGAAATGGCCTTTTAAACAACTTCCTGTCCATCAATCTGTCCACCCAGATTGATGAACAGGAAGGATTGGTTCAGTGGTGATGTAATTCCTCTTTTAAACCACACCTGAATGCTCCAGACCACCAAAACTTTAGCTTTTATAAAGGAGCTCACGTTTACTGATGATCAGTTACTCAAGTGCATGAGTCAAGCTGATAAATAAAAGCATGATAGGTCATGCGTTTCTGTTCTGTTCTGATGTTGTATTTACCAAATATTAAGACCTGTTAAGGGCCAGGATATTTTTGTTATGTCCTGATATGTTAGACATTAAAACTGTACTTTCTTTTTACCATGACTATATATGGAAAAGCCTAACAGACAAATATATTCAGAGGAGGAGGAAATCTCATATATTCCTGTATTTACTATAGCCTTAATTATATACCCATGTTCATTTGAATAATGAATGAACCGTTTACGCTACTGTAATTAACTCCAGCATCAGAAAAGTGAAAATTTGCTGTTTTTTTTCTCCCTTTTAAATCACCGTATAATTAGACATTGTTGGGTTTTAGGAGCGCAGTCCAGTAAAACCACAGTGACACTCCAGCTGAGAACAACTACACAAACACTGCTCTGTTCTGTTTGCAACCTGAGGGCAAGGCATAAGTTTAAAGGAACCAAACACACCTACACAGAGCTTTTTTTGTTTTGAGTATTGAAAAACAAATAGGCAACAAAGGAAAATTAAAATTGCTTGTTGCTTTTTCAGCAGCTGCACACACAAATTTAAAGAGAAGTTACAGAAATGACATTTTGAAGTTTCTTGGCTGTTTTTTGTTTTTTACAGTATGTTTACATAGTGGGAGATATGAGGCAGTAAACTAAAAACAATGCCAAAGCCTCCAGAGACTTTGAGATATTATTGTCTGTGAAGGTATTAAACTATACTTTCTGGCAGAAGACAATCGATAGTGAAAATTGTTGTGAGCTGCTCTCCAATCATGGGTGAAATGTTACCAGTGCTGAGATGAGGAACACTAGAAATCATAGAAATGCACCCAAATCGGGGCAACCTTGGAATGCACACTGCATTTAAGTCTCCTCGA